TGTTTGGACGAATTTCCAACTGTTGCAATAAACTTGATTTCACATTTCTCCTTGCTAAAATGGTTTTTAATCACGATCAACTGGATTCCCTTCGTATTATTTTTGCAATTTGATGATAATTTCGAACTCCCTACCCATTTTAGTATGTTATCATGGGCTACAGGCACTGTGTGTAATTTACCTCCATTAGAGTTCATACATTTCACTTCAGGAACACTCGTAATTCAAACAACTATGAATAATATAACGACTGACAAAAGCTCGCAGCTTCGTTAACTGGAATGCTGTAAATGCCCCAACGGATTTGTTTTTGAGTACGACCCTTTTTATGTACGTAGCAACCATTGAAAGAAAGTTCAGGATAGTTCAATAAACTGGTGCCAGTCCTAACCATAATTTAGCGAATGGCACATCACACAATGAATTACAAGATATCTCAGGAAAATTGTCGTGCGATTTTTGCCAAGAAAGGCGGTAGTTGGAGGACAGTTTTGGGTGATCAGATTATGGCCGGACATGGGTGTATGAAAACATCGACACAGACATAACAAACAAATCAGTTGTACTCTTATATACAGTCTATTCGCCCTTCGACTGAGGTGTTGGTGGTCGGCTCCAAATCACCACACTAACAAACTACTCTCTTTCCTTTGCAAAATTGAATAAATTTCCCATTTTTGCTTTACCGACTATTATTTCCGATCCCCAACCACGGAGTTGGTTACAGCTTTAGACATACGCAGCTTGAGTATGAGTTCACCCAACTCACCCATAAACCAATACTCGCGTGTTGCTCCCAGCCTAAGTTATCTGCTTTTAATCTCTAAACCCTTATGCAAGTAGGGACCCAGGCAGCATTCGCTCGCACACTGACAGCCCTTGCCAAACACGTTTCCCATCTTAACGAAACTCGCACACCGTTTCCGAACTCCGTTCTACGCATCGCTTCACCCACCCTTGGAGTGTACTAGAACGTTCACACTCGGGAGCTCCGGACTGATGGTCTCTCTTGCGTACGGGTCGCGCTAAGCGTTCGTGAGGCGATTGTTGTACTTCACTGGATCCTAATCAATGGTTGACTGCGCCATCTGACTTGAGAGCGTAATTGAAGGCATCACAAATGGGCTCGATAAACGTTTTTGTCCTTTATCATAACTTGCATCATCGACGAAGCAAAAGACGTGTTCCATCGCCAGCCTGCAAACTTCCTACGCGCCAGACGACACAGACGTACTGGTCGGTAACTTCAACGTGCAAATTGCACTTGATGCTCAACATAGTCTTAGTGTTCGCAGTACAGACAATAGTGACCGTCTTCAGCAAATCTGCGCCGCTCATGGTCTCTGGCTTCCGAGTTCCAGCTTTCGACGATCGTTGTGTCAACGTGCCACCTGGTGACCTCCATCACATAGACAACTTTGGATTCAAATAGACTACATTCTTATAAGTTGTCGGTGTATGGGCTGTAGAGCGAAATGCAAGTCTGTCTGGAATACCTGCCACTGTTACGATCACACAATGTTGTACGCGAAATTCTACGTGTTTTTTTTCGAATGGCGCTCAAAAGGATTCGACTTGAAGAAACTATTCAAACTAAACGTAGTTACACAGCGTAGGATCATGAGTTGGAACATATCGATTGACTTGTTTACTTTGTATGTTGGTCGAGTCGTGTATTCATCATGCTGGTTTGGGCGTCTTTTTTGTTACCCGAGTCTCTGCCGAGTTCCATCTTTACTACAATAAGGTAATTATTAGGGGGCACCGTTCGAGTATATTTCAACTATATGGTCTCGGCACAATAGTAAAGTTAACAAAATACATTTGCTGTCATCTGTGAATTTTACTTCCGCATTTCTGTCGTTTTCAACACGCAGTAATTTCTTCCTCTCCCTTCTTCGTTATAACAGACTTGAGAACAGTATTCGTCGGCTGCGTACTGATGTTCAATCAATGCGTGCAGTCGAAGCGCAGCTGCGTGGTCAGCTGACTCAGCTCGAACGCGATGATCGATTAAATCGGTTAAGTTTGTCGAATCGGCGCCAAGAAAATGAATCTCTTGCCTCCAGTATAGCCAAGTTGACCAGCCAAACGCGAACGGAGCGTGCAAATCTAGCCAATTTGGAACAGACTTTGAATGAAGAGCGGCGTGCGCGGCAACAGTTAGAAGAACAACTGGTTGAGATTGTATCTCACAAAGAAGCCGAATCTGATCCCAGTGATGAACCGCCAAGTTCCACTGGACACGGAAAAGCAGTTCAGTAAGTCCGATTTGTGCTGCTTGCATCTGTCCTCTGTAGGAACAGAAAAATATCCGAAAATATTCTTCACAGTTCGATCAATTTTCTCTCCACGGTCACGTGTATTCATGTTGCTTATTGAGTTGTGTGCATAAAATAGTGACGAAAGGTATCGATCTTCTGTTTCCAGTCAATGTTTGTTATTCTTTCCTCTCAGCTGTTGCTACCTCGTCATAAACATTAATTCATTTTCCTTGATTGAGTCTTTTGTTTCGCATAGGCTTGACATAACAATAGAATTACTTTTTATGGGTACTCATTTCCCGTTG